AAGCCCGTGTCTTTCCCTGGCAGTCGTTCACTGCCATCTCTGCTGCGTAGTTATCTCACCCCAGGCGGGTTGAGTCTACCGCAGGGACTTCCATATGTAGTACTGCCCTGGGCCAGTCCATATGTGTAATTCCACATGATACCTCCTATGTGCGGGATGTGGCTTCCGTAGCGTCCCAACTGGGTATGCTTTCCCAGTGTTATCCAATGTACCACTGTATGGTACACCTCTGCCTAGCCGCTGTCCTATCTTCCGCCCCAGCTGGTGTGGGGGGACTTGCCGGCTTCCGCAAGGCACTGGAGGGGGTCAGCAATAGTGGCGTTTTCCATACGGATCCCAATTCGTCTGTTACGACTGACGTAACGTAGAACGTGACTGACTGAAAGGGAACGTCTAGGTTACTTGTGTAACCCTCGTTCCCTGAAGGAGGGAGAATCGGGCTCTCGGGCGAGATCCCAATTCATCAGTCACGACTGACATAACGTCTCCGTTCCCTCCTTCAGGGAACGAGGGTTACACAAGTAATCTAGACATTCTGAATGTTCAATAAACTGTTCCATTTAGAAAAAATAAATACATTTCTGATTATAATTTAATATGTCAGGCTTTACAGAGTTAAATATGTTTTGCTTTTTCTCTCTTAAGTATCTATTGATTTGCTTTTACGTCCATCAACTTCACTTTCTCTAGAACTTTTCACCAAATACGACTCCTCACTTGATATCTTCTGAGCGACTGAATGCATTTTTAAACTTTGAACATCTTTTATGAATGATTTTCAGCTTTTCATCATTTTAATGCTCAGATTACATATCCCAGTACCATTCCCACCGAATGTAAGATGCTCCCAAAAGCCGAAAGCATCTTCTCAGTCTTCGTTATGAGCGTCTCTCTCTATGCATGCGATGGCCGATGAAGACTCTCTCTCCAGACTAATAGTTTTTTTATTGTGTTCTGTCAGTCAGACGCACAGCTTCTTGGTTTCAAAGCACTGGGCTACAGTCTGCTGCTAGTTCAAGCAGAACATTACAGTCTCCAGGCAATTTCTATCTGAAAAAGGCCAAGCGTTGAATGGACGCATCACACATGGTTGGCATTAATTGAAATCATGCCATTTATTGAATTGCTTTATTGGAAAAGTTGGAAGCTGCTAAAGATGCTTCTGTAATCTCACTTCAGTAATAGAGTTAGTCTTGCTCTCACTTGATTTAATGCATTAGAAATGTTCATCTCACAGCCTTTTGCCCTCAGTAGCCCTTCATAAGCATAATAATCTGGGCCACAATGGAAAGGCCTGCTCGAGCGTCAGGCAGAATATGTTTTGACGTGATGGTCTTTCTGACAGCTATCATTAAATAGTCAGTCCGGCAAATCAGAGTGTAATTCATCTGCGGCACGCTCCGTACACATACTGAAATTAAATGTCAAAGCTGCCCATTATAGACAATTGATGGTGGCGTGAGTGTGACAACCCTGTTTTTCAACTCATGCATCTCATCCCTCACATTTGTATTGACATTTAAAACAAACGGAAATAAGCAGGTAACACAATCTGAACTGACAGACATGTTTGAGGTCTTTTGATAGCACTGGGAGATCTGTATGCAGTCTGGTTTTGTGCCTGAATTATACCGGATGTGGATGAAGAATTTCTACACTCTAAAAAAAGCTGGGTTAAATACAAACCAGTGCTGGGTGAAATATGGACAAACAGGGCGGTTGTGTTACTACCCAGAAGGTTGAGTTAAACTTTTAACCCAACCGCTGGGTCAAAACAACCCACTTGCCGGGTTTGTCCATATTTCACCCAGCACTGGTTTGTATTTAACCAAGCATTTTTTTAGAGTGTAATGGGTATACAAAAAATATATATACTTTATTACAATTGTACACGTCAGGGATATGGATGTACACAGATGTACTTTACCATTTAAAAAACTAATTAACAAATGTGTGTTATATATTTATGTATATGTGTGTATATATATATATATACGTTTGTAATAATCACCACTGCGATTATTAATAACAAATGAAAATGTACAAAAGTGAAACTGCTGTTATAAAACTGAAATTTCTTCTTCTGAATGAGCCACATTTGGAGCTGTTGTAAAAGAGCTGATATATATATATATATATCAGTTTTGATGTTGCTATGAGATTTGTATAGAGTGGATTTATATTTATTTATTTATTTATTAGTCATATGGATTGTCATCTTGGAATTTCTATTGGGGATACATTACCGTAATGAGAAAAAAACTCTTTACTATAAAACAGTAATAAAAAAAATAAAATTATTTATTTTAAAATAAAAATGAAAATTGATGTATATTGTACACTTCACAGATGTGCTTTACAATAAAAATAAAAATAATACATTTTATTGTTAGTGGTAGTGTCTATGTATTTTATATTTTACTATTAGTAGACAATTATTTATTTAAATTGTAAATTTGATTATTTGTCATGAAAAAAAAGCTGAATTTATTATTATTATTATTATTATATATATTTTTTTACATTTTCTTTATGCAAACTTTATTTTGATGTTCCTGTGAGAATCATATACAGTCTGGTTTTGTGGCATTATTATTTATATATTTAGAATTATCGTCATCTGTAAATTTATACTGGGAATACATTCATGTAATGCAAAAAACAACAAAAACCATCCACCATCTTGCCTATTCTTTAGAATTCATGTGAATCATCTGTGAAGTTGTACTGTAAGCCACCTGTGACAGAAAGCAATGATTCAATACTGTGCAAATTGTGACCACACCTATCGATTTGTCTCACTTCTTGCAATGTACAATATGTCTCTGATGTCTTATTCATTTCATCAATAATAGAATACATCTCTGTGGCCCTGAAGATTTGATCAGGAATCGTTTCGTTCCTGACACGTATCTTGCATCATGAACTGCTTACTGCCAGAGTTTATTTTATCACAGCGAGTCACTCTAATAATAATGGCTCTGCTCACAATAGTGTACGAGTGTGCTCATACTGGGCAGTGTGTACTTTATGCTGCTGCATTCTGTTTTTAGAAATAATTTGTCAAACAGTACACAATATACAACAATAAATGTTTCAACTAGAAGTGTGCTGTTGTTGTCAGATTTGTGACGGCGACGATGATGGTGACTAGTATTAATGCCTTTATTTTTATTTATGATGTTTAATGTATTATTATTATTCATACTTTATTTTTAAAACTTGAATATTTAATACCTTTCTAAAAAACACTATTAATTTATTATTTATAATATATTATTATTATTATTATTATTATTATTATTATTATTATTATTAGTGTATATTCATTTTAATAATAATAATAATAATAATAATACATATTTAATGTGTGTGCATATATAATCATTTAAATGAATAAATACATTACTTGTATATATTTATTTCATTATTTATTATATTGATTAGTATAGTATTATTTGCATATTGTATAATGATGGTGATATTATTCATAATATTAATAATAATAATAATAATAATAATAATAATAATAATAATAACTAAGTATTAAGTAATAACTAATTATTATTGCAAATGTATTTTAATGCATTACTATAAATTTATTATGATGATGATGATGGTGATTATTATTATTATTATTGGTATTATTATTATTATTATTATTATTAGTAGTAGTAGTAGTAGTAGTAGTAGTATTATTACTATTATTATTAGTGTATATCCAGTTTAATTAATTATTTGTAATGTATTATTATTATTATTATTATTATTATTTGTGTCTTTAATTAATTTTACTTTTATAATAATGTTTTTATTAATGTATTATTTTTAATATATTATTACTATTAATTATTATTATTAGTGTATAGTCATTTTAATCATGATTATTATGATACTTTTGTTTAATTAATTATTTGTAATGTATTATTATTATTATTATTATTATTATTTGTGTCTTTAATTAATTTTACTTTTATAATAATGTTTTTATTAATGTATTATTTTTAATATATTATTACTATTAATTATTATTATTAGTGTATAGTCATTTTAATCATGATTATTATGATACTTTTGTTTAATTAATTATTTGTAATGTATTATTATTATTATTATTATTATTATTTGTGTCTTTAATTAATTTTACTTTTATAATAATGTTTTTATTAATGTATTATTTTTAATATATTATTACTATTAATTATTATTATTAGTGTATAGTCATTTTAATCATGATTATTATGATACTTTTGTTTAATTAATTATTTGTAATGTATTATTATTATTATTATTATTACTATTATTATTAGTGTATAACCATTTTATTATTATTAATAATAATAATAATAATAATAATAATAATAATCACTTTAAAATCCAGGTGTTTTATGTATACAGAGAATCTGCATACTGTAAGAAACAGGGTGATTTGTGTGGTAGTTTGGTAGAGTTGTGCTGTTATCAGTGAATTTAATATTTCTCTTTTTTTCTTCATCCAGATCGAACAGTTTTGAAGTCATTGCCTTAGATGGAGTTTGCACGCACCTTCTTCAATTTTGCACTGCAGCTGAAAGCACAGACTGGCTTCAAGCAATATCAACCAATATCAACGATTTGACCCAGGAGAGCGTAAGTAACATGCATTATCTGCTGCGGCATTAGTGTAAGTGAAACCATGAGAGATCAGAGCAGATCCGGCCGTCTGAGCGCCAGACCGGCTATAGAGGACAGTAATGCACTGATGTACGGTACGGCAGCAAATGCACTGGACTGAAGGTTTATGACTGCTTTCAGACTGAAATATGAATACGCAACTGGAATTTTGCTGTGTTCAGAACTTCTGCAGTATTGCATGATATACAGTTCACCATATTTGTATGGAGTTACTCTTGGTGACACATCCAGGTTGTATTTCACATAGAAATCTCAATAGAGAGAACTTAAAAATATTTTGCATAAAGGAAGTGACGTACAGTGGTGGCCAAAATGATTAGAACACTAGTATTTTCACCAGCTAAAAATGTTTTTTAAGTCTCTTTAAGAACTGTGGGAAAGTCTCTAAGATGCTTCAAGAAACCTATCTACGAAGCTACAGTAATGTTAATGGTTTTAGGCACTAAACAGCAGGTGCTGTCAAAAACCAATGTCATAAATAGACTTTCTTTATCAATTAACTTCTATTAACTAAATTAAATCAACATTTGGTGTGAGCATCCTTTGCATTTAAAGCAGCTTTTGCCCTCGGTGCACTTCAGGGAGCTTTGCAGGTAGGTTTCTTCCTCAAGCGTCTTGGAGACACAATTCTTCTAGAGTGAGTCTGTCTCAGTTTGTTCTGTTTCTTCATGTCATTCCAGACAGACTGGATGCTGATCAGATCACATCTCTGTGTGCAGCACAAAAATATCACTGGATTATTACAATTAATGGCAAAATGAATGTTTGGAAATGTGAACTGATATTTCCTACTGACACACTACAGCAAAAGACAGAAATAACTGACTTAAAACCATTTTTTAGCTGGTGACAATACTAGTGTTCTAATCATTTTGGCCACCACTGTATATATCCATATATATTTTAAAATATATATATATATATATATAATATGAATTCACATCATATTACTGATATAACTTTCTGGTAGCGTATGCACAAGCATGACAATTTTTAAAGGTGAAACCATTAATAGGCATGCATTATTATGAATTGAAATCATTAATTATGCATGAAAAGTTACAGTGCATAGAAACATATATGATAAGTCATTATGCGTAGAGCTTTACAATACAGGCCTGTAACATGAAATGCACAAACATAAACTGGACTTGTCAGCCAAGTGTCAAACGACACTCAATCCCATCATCCTCGCTGCTCGAGCATGTGACAGTCACTCTATTTATAGGTTATAGGTCAGCACAATAACAGATCCGCTCCGCAGATACACTCAGCTGTTAATTGAACATTTAGCAATCAGCGTCCGTCTCCATCATTAGGTGACGTCAGTGCGGTAATTGCACATAAAATAGGCAGCTGTGTGACAGCCTCAGAAAAAGACCAGATCATCAGCGCATGCACTAATTAAAACAACACACAGGAAATTAGATCGTTAGGCAATATTCTTGGCAAGAGCAGAAGACTTATGAATCGAGTCCAAAGAGCACAAATCTGGAGAAACTCAATAGACCTTCATGCTGCAGTTTTACAGAAAGAGGTGCATTATTAGTAAGAGTTTTCAGAGTGAAACTATCCCTCATAAGGTGGAATCACATGAAAAATATCTTGACATGTTCTGCCAATATTTAACAACTAAATGAAACAAATAAGCAATTAAATAATTTGTACTAAGTATATAAAGCATTTTTTATAATTTGTGTTATTACATTCATGACAATGAAGCAAATGTAAATCTTCCCTCTAATGCTTAATAGCATACTGTAATGCAAAATAAATAAATAAATCAGTTAATAATAATAATAATAATTGTTGTTGTTGTTGTTAAAATCATAATAGTCATATTATAATATTTGTACAGTTAATTTAAATTTTTAAGTAAAAAATAAATAAATCTGTTTATAATAATCATGTTATAATATAATTATTTGTATTGTCCTAGCAATATTTAACAACTAAATAAAATTAATAAGTAAATATGTAATTTGCATTAAATAAGTAGTTTGCATCATATTATAATAACTGTACTATTTTAAGTAATAAATAAATAAAAAAATGTATTTATAATAATCATATTATAATAATAATTAGCATTTTCCTGAAAATATTTAACAACAAAATAAAATGAATGAGTAAATAAAAAACACATTTTTAATACTTTGTCTTATTGCTTTCATGACATAAAACCTTAAGTCTTCCCTCTAATTCTTAATGGTAAGTAAATAAATAAACATTTATGTTATTATTAATAAGAATAAGAATAGTTGTTGTTTTTTTAAATTGTGAAGTAAATCTTTAAAGTATACAAAAGTGAACACGTTTAAAAAATAATTAATAAATAATTGTAATATGAATCATATTATTATAATAATAATTGTTGTAAAATGTACAGTTTGATGCTAAAATAATAAATAAATAATAATTATGTTAATAACAATCATATTATTATTATTATTATAATAATAGTTTTTTTAATTATAAAGTACATCTGTGAAGTGTACAAAAGTATACAATTAAGTTTAAAATAAATAAATATTGATACTGTTATTTGTTTGTAAATGCTTACTTGTATACTTGTTATTGATTTGTAAATGTTTTTGTTCCTTTCAGATAAAAACGGCGAATAAATACTGTTCTCCTGATGATCAGGTGGGTTATTTGTACAGTGAGATATTCATCTAAATCATAAGACAGAAAGTAATTATCCCTATTGTACTGCCTCATCATATTTTACCATTACAGTATGAGAGAGATGTCATAATCAGGAAAATAACACATCGTGTCATGACCTCCGGCTCTCTGTTGCATTATGATGAATAATTCAGAGAGTAATTCAGTCATATTTACTTTAGAGAAATGGATAGCGACAGAGGAGAGTCTGAGCACGTACGGATGGGTTTCTTGTGTTGAATGTTTTCTCCTCAGATTGTCCACATGGGTTGGGTGTGTGAACACCTGCAGGGCCGCGACGTCGAGCCCCTTCACAGCTGCAGGTTCCTGGGGCTGAGAGGATCTTCTCTCCTCGTTTTCAGGAGTCCTCCTGTAAGCTCATGCATGTGTTACAAACACACGCACTCCTGAGAGATGTGATGTTATGCAATATTACAAGATTACTGTATTATATGGTACATATCAACTAGGGTTGGAACAGTTCAACTTACGGTTCGGTTTGTATCTCGGTTTAAGAGTCACAGTTTCAGTACGGTTCAGTATGTGCTGTGTTTAGGCAAAAACTATACTGTCAAATAAAAATAAAGAAAATAAGAATAATCTATTCAACTACAAGCAACAGCACAAATAAATACAATAGAGTAAAGATACAAATAAAATAAACTGTGATTTTCAGTTTTTTTTAGGTAGGTCTAACATTAGTTTTTAGGAACAGAAATCGAATAAAGTAATGAAATGTAAAACAGCATTGCATATTTGACGGTATAAATTAAAGATGAATCTTTATTAAAGTTACAAAATCTATTTAATCAAGAGCAGTGAGTGATTTATTTTTTGTTGCTGTTTGATTAATATTAAGAAAGTGCTGTCACTTTAAGAGAATGCGCTGATCCAGTGCACTGATACAGTACGTTCAGCCGGCTATGTCTGCTATAGGATACTTACCAAGAAGGGCATTTTGACATAGTTTTTGTGTGAATTTGTCCATTTAAACACAACACTTCAGAGAAAGCTTAATATGTGCGCAAGTTCTGAGGCGCAGGTTTGCGCGCTTGGGTTGAGCGCACACACAAATCTTCTCACTGCGCGCGCGAGCTCATGTCCTCTGGCTCTTACATGTTTCACGAGTGGGGATACACACAGCCTATGCGTGGTTTGCTTGGGAGCGAAGCACAGTTGTTACTGCCTTGCTTTGCCCTCAGAGGGCTCTCTTTGAGGAGGGAGCCTTCACTAGCGTTCCTCGCAGTGCCGGCCCCGCTTTCGCTAAGGTGGAGCGGCGGCTGTGCTCGTGGGTTTCGCGTATAGATCTGCTTCCTAATCACCAGATCCGGCGCCCGCTTTCGGGGTTTCGGAAGCCCGCGCTGCGGTCCTTCCGACCGGGGAGAGGGCGCGACGCTCCGCCTGTCTTTCTCCAAGGAGATTGATACTGAGGGCGTCAATGAGCTCGCCAGTTGCACAAACATCAGTTACACAAGCATATTATGCCTGATATTATAATGAGCAGCATTAATAGGGAGCGGGGGGCGGATTGTGTTTTTTCCGCTGTTAAGAGCTCCGCTCTCGCCGAGGAGTGTGTCCGTGCCTGTGATCTTGCGATTGCGGTCCCGCTGCTGCTGAGGCATGGCGGCGACTGAGAACGCGGAGATCACTCATGATCTAGCAGACGGGTTGGAGACGGCTCTTCCTATCTCCACAACTTGTTCGCTAGATCTAGAGCTCGTTCTCGGGGCTTAGAAGCCCGCACTGTGGTTCTTCCCCCTCTGAGTGAGTGCTGCAGCCCTCTTTCTCTGAGGAGATTGATGTTGTTCGTGTGACTGAATGGTACTAAGAGACTCGCTACCTCTATGGAGGTATCTAGAGCAGCTAGTACGGCCGTCCCCTACCGGTCCGCTGCTTCAGGGCACTGAGCTAGCTGCTCTTGGCGCACCACAAGCCAGTCTTGCGAGACTGGTTCCCTTAGGAGGTCACCTGGCGGTGTGGGAGCCCCTGCCAAGTGTGCTTCATTGGGTCCTGCCCCGAGCAGTCTGTGGTCTAGTCTTCCTAGCAGAAGACGTGGGTCTGAGGGCCGTCGTTTTCAATAGGAGACTTCAGCTATGAGAGTCCTGATGCTGTTGCTCAGGACCTCGGAGGGCAGGCCCCTCTGGGGAAGAGAAGTTCACACCGCATTACACGGTGCCCGTCTCTCCTCAGTGCCCTCAGGAGGTCAGTCTGCCAACCCTGACGTGTTCCAGGGCGTAGCGGTCTCCGGCGAGCGCTTCTCTCAGTTACCGCCCAGAAACGTAGCGGTACTAAGAGACTCGCTACCTCTTTGGAGGTATCATGAGCAGCTAGTTCGGCCATCCCCTGCCGGTGTGCCATTCTGGGCACACCAGAGATCAGTCTCGAGAGACTGATTCCCTTAGTAGATTATTTAGCAGTGTGGAAGCTACTGCCAAATGTGTCTCAATGGGTCCTGCGTACTGTAGAAAGAGGCTACAGAATCCAGTTCGGTTCTCGTCCTCCTCGATTCAACGGGGCCCCCCACTCTAGTGGGTCCTGAGCAGGCTCTGGTTTTAGAATAAGAAGTACTTATTCTCTTAGAGAAGGATGCCATCGAGGTGTTCCCTCCGCACGAGACAGACTCCGGGTTCTACAGCCCTTACTTCATTGTTCCGAAGAAGGATGTGGGGTTGCGTCCTATTTTAGATCTGTGCCTATTGAACCACTCAGTCATGCGACTGAATTTCAGCACACTCGCACTCAAACAGGTAGTATCTCAGACCAAGTCCGAGGACTGATGTGTCACGATCAATCTAAAAGATGCACATATTTCCATCCTTCCTCATCATAGGAAGTTTCTGAGGTTTGCTTTTGGTGGCAAAAGCCTACCAATACTGGTTCTTCCTTAGGCCTTGCACTCTCACCCCACACTTTCACGACTCAACCACATTGATGATTGGTTGATATTTGCTCAGTCAGAGCGGATGGCGGTTCGACATCGAGATGTCGTTCTCGCTTACAACGAAAGAGCTGGGGTTAAGACTTAACACCAAGAAAAGTGTGCTTTCTCCAGTAAAGAGAACCACTTATCTGGGCGTGGTATGGGATTCGACCACGATGCAGGCATGTATGTCTCCTGCTCGGATCGAGTTGCTCCTCACCTCAGTCGCGAAAGTAAGAGAAGGCCGGTCACTCACTGTCAAGCAGTTCCAGACTGCTTGGGCTGATGACAGCTGCGTCCAACGTGATAACTCTGGGCCTGCTGTACATGAGACCCCTACAGTGGTGGCACAAGAACAAGGGATTCTCCCCGAGGGGAAACCCGCTACGCATGCTCAAGGTCACGCGGAGGTGCCTACGTGCCTTAGACATGTGGAGGAAACCTTGGTTCTTGTCTCAGGGCCCAGTGCTGGGAGCTCCTTGTTGCCGCGTATGCTAGCGACGGATGCATCCCTCACCGGTGGAGGTGCGGTCATGAGTGGCCACCCTGCCCGCAGTCTGTGGAGTGGTCGCCATCTGACGTGGCATATCAATTGTCTGGAGATGCTGGCCATGTTTTGAGTTCTGAAACACTTTCTCCCAGACCTAAGAGGTCACCATGTGTTGGTGCGCACCGACAACACAGCGGTGGTCTCTTACATCAACCACCAGGGAGTCCTGCGTTCGTGCCCCTTGTACAAGCTGGCACACAAGATACTTGTGTGGTCGCAGGGCAAACTCCTCTCGCTGAGAGTAGTTCACATTCCTGGGCAACTCAATATGGGAGCAGACATCCTGTCGAGGCAAGGGCTGAGGCCCGGGGAATGGATGCTTCACCCCGTGGTGGTGAAGCAGATATGGAGAGTGTTTGGCCAGGCTCAGGTGGACCTGTTGCGACTCATATGATATCGCACTGTCCCCTCTGGTTCTCTCTGACTCATCCAGCTCCACTGGGGCTGGATGCCATGGTACAGACGTGGCCGAGGCTTCATCTGTACGCCGTTCCTGCGATTTTTCTGCTCCCGGGAGTTCTGCTAAGTGGTGGATCAGGATGCTATTCCATAGCCTCGAGTCCTCTGATCTCCCCTTTCCTTTGGGGGTCAAGATTCACTCCTCCAGAAGTCGGCCTTCGGGATGGCGGGCCCCGCCTACTTCTCTCGCCCTAGCTGTGCAGTCTTCCACACTAGGCAGAGATTTGGAAGTCTGGTGGCGTGGGTATTCTCGTTCCCCTAGCGTTTCCGACGCAGCTCGAGTTCCTGAAGAGGAACGTCTCAGGATGTAACCCTGGTTCCTCGAGGGAACGAGACGCTGCGTCTCGGTGCCATACTTCTGGCATCCCTGCCAGTGCTTGCCTCATTCCTGAAGCTGACGCTGCCTCCGCCGCACATGCTTTTATAGGTTCCTGGTCATGACGTCACCCGCCTGTGATGTCCCGCTCAGCTATTGGACTGATTTCACATGTTATTCAGAGCGTGGTCACAGAAGGCGTTCCCCTAGCGTTTCCAATGCAGCATCTCGTTCCCTCGAGGAACCAGGGTTACATACGTAACCTGAGACGTTTTCTCCTTCAAACAACAGATTGAGTTCATCCAAATTTCACAAAAAAGCTTATGGAAATAATTGTAATACAAGTCCGACATTTTTAAAGTATGTTGCTGTTTTTGTCTCTTCTAAGGAAGATTCATTCACTTGTTTGGCAATATCAGATTTTTTTAATGTTCATCCAAACTCATTTTGTGACTTTTCTTTCTGCTTTAAAGATGTTTTCTTTGGATTGACTACTCACAAGAGTATGACTTAATTTGTGTTTATCATTTCAAGTGATGTAGAAATTCGAAAAATGAATGTCTCTTTTGATTTGGTTTTTGTTAGTGAATCGCTTGAACTTAACAATTGAAGTCACAAGTTTGAATCAATCGGAGCGCTTCCAGCATAAATGACTCACTCAATTGAATCGGTTTGTCTGTTCCTCTGCTTTTCGCGTCAACAGTCATGTCTACACAACACTGTCAGTACTACTACTGGCTCAGCTCGCTAGTTTTATTACATTAACTGAAATAAGCGAAAAAAGTATGATGTTTACAAATTAAATATCCATATTGCCATTTCAAAATTAGAATCCTACACAAATCTACAAACATATTCAGGTGAGGTAACTGGTTTACTGCTAACTAGTGAAACACACAATGAGCTGCCCTTCAAAATACATGCTAGATTGTAGATCTGTTTGTGTTTGAAAGTCAAAAGAGCAAATGGGAGAAGCAGACGAACACAAAACAGCAGAACAACATAAAGTTAAAGAGGGTAAACTTTATCATTCAACTGAACTGTGCTCCTATGTTTAAACACTTCGGCTCCTGATATGTTCACTCACTTCAGGTAATATCAATGGTATGACCATTGTTTCAGATGCGGCCGAAATTACAACAACAGTGGATACACACACATATATTGAATTGTTTGATCAAAATCATTGTTAGGGACAATTTAGTCGCTGGATATTGGTAGGCACATGTCATAGCGTTTCTACTAAATTCTACGCCCTTTGTACATACATATATATACTTAAATTAGTATTTATAAAATATGTATTTTTAAAAAAAATAAACACATATGAAATTATACAAATTATAATAAATAATTAATTTCATTAATAATTTCATCTGAAATACATTTTTTAAAAATATTTGGAAGCTTGTTTCCATTATGTTAATTGGGACTTTTTACCTCACAATTCTGACTTTTTACTTCAGAATTGCGAATTGTACATTTTGTTTCCAGCAACTGTGAGTTTATATCTCACAAACTGGACGGTTCGGGGGGAAAAAAGGTAATAGCAACTTTTTATCACACAATTCTAATTTTCTTTCTTTTTTTTAATTTGCAATTCTGCAACTCATAATTGTGAATAGAAAAAGAAAAAATCTGAATTGTGAGAAAAAAAGTCACAATTACCAAACTTCCATAGAAATCTGACTGACCAATCTCTCTCTATATATATTTTTTTTAATCCTTCTGGAAAAGCCATGGAAATTCTTTGATCAGTGTGGGAACCCTAAATAACACGTGAAACACATTTCAAATACTAGTGCACCACATTACACTGGAACTATAGTATACTGCAGAATTAGTGCATAATCTGAACACAGCCAATGTCTCTTCTCCTAAAATGTTACGGACTGTGACAAACCTCACCTGTCGTCTGCTGCTCTGAGACTCAGGACATCTATTCTAATTATATATAATCAATCTATTACTTTCTAATGGACTGTGGCGAGGAAAAGCCATTACCGCGGTGGCCTCGCACACATACGTTATTGGTGACAAATGTTTTATCTTTGCCATTAAGCCTGAAGACACAGGTTTCATCAGTTATGAAATACACAAAATGCACTTTGTGTTGGCACTGTTTCTGTGTCCTGCGCTTCCTAATGCAATGCGATATTTAGCTTGACTCCAGCGTCGTCCTCTACATAACTCCGTTACGGCTGCATTAATGTTATTGCAAGTGGTTTTGATAAATTTTGTGACCGAAATAATGCTGTGCTGATATTTCTTGCCGTTTCATTAAATGTGCATTACTGAATAATAAAGAGAGAAATCTAAGGAAACATAGCATTTAACATGCCTTAAAGCCTGGAGAGACATTCAGCAAATTCATTAGCATCTCATTATATTTCAGATTTATGTCTGTGCTGCTTTAGAGTACTGACTGTTAAATAAGCCTTATGTCTCTGTAGGTCATGAAGAGGTAATTACTGCAAACTTTTTCATACGCATGAATTTTAATGGAAATGGCAGCGTTGAAATCTAATTCCGAGGGCAAAAAATAAAACAAATGACTAGTTTTCCAAAACAGAGGAGTGAAATAATGAATCAGTAGAACCTCTGTAATACATTGTGTTGAAAGAACCTCACAATTGTGCACTGGTTTTCTTAAAGTCCCCATGAAATCAAAATTAAAGTTTTTTCGGGTGTTAGTATCAATATGTTAGTCTTAAGGTTATCTATAAGGCAGTGTGCTCCAAAACAGTGACAAAATTAATTTAGAAGATATAAGCATTCAAAGCTTTTAGTTTGTCACTTCCGCCAAAACAGCTCAACGATTTTTTTTTGACGTCACATCGTACTTCAGCTTCTCATCAAATCTTCTGACCAATCAAACGCTCTCTAGAAGCCGAAGCGCCCGCCCCCTACACTATAAATAGACGCTGAAGCTGTGGCTGAGATCGGTCGCTTGTTCACAGTGTAGTATTTCCTGTACAGTGAATGGCTCATAGTGTACTATGTAGGCGATAGTGAACGATTCAGATAGTGTAAATAAGCTTTCGATTGGGGCAAATGAGGTCTGGTTTCACGTTGTGTCACGCGAACCATGGCAGCACACACAGTCTGATCTGGACTTTGGCTCTGGTCCAGAGATGCAATCGCACGGAGCGATCAAATGCACGAGTCGGCATATATTAAACACTTGTAAAACTACGCAGCCTCAGCATGATTATGATCACTATTTTGTTTAACTAAGAGTTTCAAATTGAACTGTGAGACTGTGGCTGTCAAATGCGGCTTTACCGAGCTCAACGGCTCTGACCCGTGCAGATATAAAGAAAACACTATTGGCTAATTTAAAAAGGGGGCGGGGCTGCTTGATATGTCCCGCCCTGTCTTCCTGTTTCAGTTGAAATTACATCACCACATAGAATAACGCTGCTGTTTCAAGGCACTTCAGGGGACCTTTAAAGGAGTAGTTCACCCAAAAATGAACATTAGCTTAAAATGTGCTCACCCTCAGGCCATCCAAGATGTAGATGAGTTTGTTTCTTCATCAGATTTGGAGAAATGTAGCATTGCATCAGTGTCTCAGCAATGGATGCTCTGCAGTGAATGGGTGCCGTCAGAATGAGAGGCCAAAAAACTCTAAACAAAAATGTGGCTGGATTTTGATGTGAGAGACAACAGCAGATGGACTTTTTCACTGGAGGAAGCGTTATTATGGATTATGGACTGGTTAAAAAGTTAAAAGGGGTTTTAAAGATGAATTTGTTTCTCATAAACAAGCACCTTTTGGCTAGTCCAGATGTTAACTGATGGACTGGAGTGCTGTGGATTACTTGTGGATTATTGTGATGTTTTTATCAGCTGTTTGGACTCTCATTCTGACGGCACCCATTCACTGCAGAGCATCCATTGCTGAGACACTGATGCAATGCTACATTTCTCCAAATCTGATGAAGAAACAAACTCATCTACATCTTGGATGACCTGAGGGTGAGCACATTTTCAGCAAATGTTATTTTTTCGGGTGAACTACTCCTTTAATCTACTGCAAGGGGACTGCAGTAAGCGGCTGTATCCTCACTAATGGATGTGTAACAGTGAGATTTCTTTCTGTGTTTTTGTGTCAGATCTTGGCATCAGACTGGGCTCAAGCAGAGGCTAGTTTTCACCTCTGTGAGGTTCTCTTTAAGGTTCATAAGGTACGAACACACATGAATGACTTTTATCAGTAGATGCTGAGTGCTCTGTATTTGATTTGTTTGTCATTTAAAGTCAACATGAAATCAAAACATATGTTCCTAAATTATATTCCTGCTCTATTGTACATGATTCATCAGTGCACATTGTTCTAAAGAAATACAATATTTGTTTTCATATTTTGTTGTTAAAAATAAATGCATATTAAAATGTATTAATTTATTTATTTGAATGAAAACGCATATAACAAATATGCATATATTATATAGACTATTTGATAATGTTCTCAGCTTAACAATAAGGATTTATTTTTATTTTTATTGTTTTTGATGACCAAGGATTTGTATTTACTCTGCCCCAACACAAAACAAGGATTTTAAAAATATATGTATATTTTTTTATTTCAAAAATTCACAACCATTCAGACAGTTGGACTTGAATTTCTTTTTTGAAGAAATTAATACTTTTATTGAGCAAGGATGCATTAAACTGATCAAAAGTGACAGGAAAGACATTTATATTGTTACAAAAGTTGATTTCTATTTCAAATGCATGCTCTTTTTTAACTTTCTATTCATCAAAGAATCCTACAAAAAAATCAAATGCATCACAGTTTACACAAAAATATTCAGCAGAACACTTGTTTTCTACATGATAATTGTTTAAGAATTATCAGAAATGTTTCTTGAGCAGCAAATCAGAATATTAGAATGATTTCTGAAGATCATGTGACACTGAAGACTGGAGTAATGATGCTGAAAATACAATATATTTTACAATATATTAATGTAGAAAACAGTTATATATTTCACAATATTATAGTTTTTACTGTATTTTTGATCAAATAAATGCAGACTTGGTGAGCAGAAGAGTCATTCAAAAACATTACACAAATCTTACTGACCCCAAACCTTTGAACAGTAGTGTATATATATTTATATTTATAGTCATATAGAAACCAAACAAACTTAGAACAGTCACTGTGTCTCTTTTGCTGCTGTCTAGCTGTGGATAGCTGAAGACTGCTGGATACAGACCAAGTTTTATCTGGGGCTCCTGCAGGACGGTGAGCTGCGGGACAGTGAACCCTTCTGCTTCAGTGTGCTGGTGGGTCACGGCCAGAGCTTCTGCTACAGCGTGGAGCTGGGCTCCGAGCTGGTGCTGTGGGAGAAAGCCTTCCAGAGAGCCGTCTTCATGGAGGTGCAGAGAGTGCGGGTGAGTGACCGCAAACCTACAAAACATCACGGAAACCGCGAACAGATCATTTGTCATGCATTTTGAAAATTGCTTTTATTGCTTTATTTAGTATTTGATAATGTTCTCAGCTTAACAATTTTGTTGTTGCTCTGACAGTATTTTTTGCACCTTAAAGCACCTTTATGTCTCACCTTTTGGACTTTTTTCTCAGAATTTTGAGTTTATCTCATATTTTGAACATTTTCAACTTACATTTTAGACCTTTTTTTCAGATAATTGTGAGTCTCATATTTTGGAATTGCATGTTTAAATCTCACAATTCTAAGTTTCTGTCATACAATTCTGAGTTTTTAATGAGTTGTGAGATGTAAACTCGCAATTGCATGAATGGAAAAGTCAGAATTGTGAGAAAATGTCTCCATTTCCTTTTTTAATTATTTTTTCCTTGGCAGAAAAAAGCTTCCACAGAAATCAATCCAAATGCCACTTAAAGAGGTTTTATTGCATTATTCGTATTACTATAATACAAGAGTGAAAACCATTCTGTTTAGGCACAGTATCAAATAGCAGCATTTGTTGTATTTAATAGAATTATCATCTGTTTTTCAGTAATGCATTACAGTAATAATATTAAAGCAATGCTGTGCACTTTTTGCATTATGGTAACAAGAAGAGGCCCTTAATTTAAAATATATATCCTGTCCATCAGGCTTTAAAAAGAGATAAAACACTCAGAAAGTGCTATATGACAAGTGAAGCATTGATTTCTGCATCTGTCAGCACTGCGGTGCGATGCATGCGAGAGCAGAAGCTCGTCTGTGTCTGATTCGTGCGTTTCAAATGTTATTACTGCTTTAATTAAATTTCTCTGAAGAGTCTTTTCTGTGAGACCTCTCCTCGCTGAGCCGTTAAATTACCTCCAACACACAAAGGTCTAGCACATCTCCGGTGTCCCCGTGAACTCCTGCAGGGCATCTATTATGAAGTATATGCTAACATAAGTTCACGGGATGAAGGGGATTTAAGTCTGAGCAGCTCCGGAGACTCGCGTTACTCACATTTAAGTCGTCTTAAATACCACCCGGGGTCAAACGGAGAGCGTCACAATGCTCGTTTCCGGCGATATCCCAACGCGTAAGTGTGCATTACTACGGCATATTTATTTATGGCTCATGGGCATTATGTAGGTTTAGTGCTCTGCCGGTGGCTCTTCGGCGTTGATTCACTCATACTTTAGCTTAGAGGAGCAGATTAATGGCTCTCTGGATAAACTGCATATCATATTCCATGCAAGAAATCAAAATCCTCATCTAACACAGCGCTAACGTTTTATTTGAGGTTAATTGAGGGAGTAAAGGCCACAGAAAGCCTAATAGACCATCGTGACATGCTGCCAAGTCATGACAGCAAAATTGACTACGTGTCCAGTTGGTCTTTATTCCAAGGGCAATTTCCAAATGGCATTTTTGTGTCCTTGAAGGACATGTCGTGAATGAATCAGTGATGGATTTCATTGTGTGAAATGTTCACTTTTATAAGCTAGTGAGTAGATGAACATGACGCCCGCTTTCAAATGTAATACACCTCAGAATTACAGCTCGTGATGGGATGTGATGAATTTGACCTTTGGAGGATGGTTGCACAATATTGGAAAAACTGGCATTGTGATATTTTTCTGCATTATACAGTATGTTGAATGAATCATTATAGCATGATTGTGGTTTTGATGGAGAGTGCAGCTGCATAGAAATTAAAAACAGTTAAAAAAAAAAAAAGCTGAAAAAAATGACTTTTTACTTTTTGTGTCTAAACCATCCTTTAAGGGCTGTACGGTTTGTAAAAAAAACAAAACACAACTTTCAACTTGTTATTACTGTTTTTGACCAATTCAATATGACAATATAACTATTATATAAGACAATATTAATACTTATGATTTGTTTTGTGATTTTAAATGAAATATTACAAAAATAAGAGATATATTTATAATAAAAATAGTTTTTAATTTACATTTTTTAAGTTTTTGTTATGTTTTTAATATATATTTTCTTAAACATGCTTATATTTTTATTATTGCTGTCAAACCAATCCAAACATCCAAAATAAACGTTTTTGTTTACATAATATATGTGTTTGTGTACTGTGTATATTTATTATCTGTATATAAAACATGCATGTACATATTTAAGAAAAATATGTTATAGTTCTATATTAAATATATTTATATATAATATAAATTATATAAATATATACATGTAAATACATATATACTGTATTTGTGTGTATTTATATATACATAATAATTATACACAGTACACACACATATATTACATAAACAAAAACCTATATTTTTGATGCGATTAATCGTGATTAATCGTTTGACCGCACTAAATTTAATTTGATTTTTATTTCAGTTTTATATATTTAATGGCTTTAGTTAACTATAATAACCCTGCATTGAGTTTTTATTTAAAATAAATAAACGTGTGTGTGTGTGTGTGTGCTTTTTTATTTTTAATAATAATTTTATTTTATTTAAACTTTTATTTTTTTTTTTTCAATTGTTTTAGTTTTAGTTGACTGTTATAACCCTGAATTGAGCTTTTATTTTGTTGGTACACTTGCAAATATGTGCTGCGGGTTTCAGAGTGAAGTGTTATATCATTTATATCATATATTTATCTAATTAAATCGCAGCTTTCGCGATTTGAAAATCACAGTAAGCCATATTGGCATATCGATTTACTTAGATATATTGTGCAACCCTACTTTTTATTTTGCAAGAGATTTCAGTGTTATGTGTGCATTGCTGCCATTAAAGCTCTCTGGTGTCACATGCCAAAATATCTTGACTCACAGCATTTATGTTTAAGTTTGTGCATTATTAGATACTTTTATCCACTGAACACGTTCAGTTCAAGCAACTATATACATGTCCTTAGTTCTGTGTAATTCCCTCATAAATCCATCCTGATGTAAGCTCTTTCACTGAATTGAATGCAACAGTTTATGAACTGGTTTTAAAAGAAGAATCTTATTCCATTTTTATAGCTAATAATTGTAATGGAGGATATAGGCCATTTTAACCATTTTCCACTACATTCTTCACATCTTGTTCACTGGATTTTATCTCAGGGCTGTAGCAAATGTCTGTTCAAGGATTTTGGTGCATTTTTCCCCTGTTTGCCCAAAAGCAAAGGGTCAGAAAGCGGCTCTGAATTACTGCCTACCCATAACCAGACATTTATAAATAATACAAAGGAACAAAGCTGTCAGGGGCGATTTAAATCACTGCAGTGCTCCGACACAGAAAGGGCAACATGCAAAGCTTCAGATTCAGTCTGATTATCTGCCACCGTTCGCCCAGAGCGCTCCTGAGCTCCGCGTGCTGCGGGACACTTTTATGAGGAGCGTGAAGGATTGTGTTATGGTTTTATGTGAGGAAGTCAGTGGGAGTTCAGGATCACAGCTTCTCTGGGTTCAGTGCGCTGAGATCTGGATTAGATGAGGCCAGATCTGAACCAGACCAGTCCCCTGAGAAGATCCATTTCTGATATGAATGAAGAGCACAGCAAAACTAGCGGGGAGGATGGATAGATGGATGGATGGATGGGAGGATGGAAGGAAGGAAGGAAGGAAGGAAGGAAGGAGGGATGGATGGATGGAAGGAAGGAAGGAAGGAAGGAAGGAAGGAAGGATGGATGGATGGATGGAAGGAAGGAAGGAAGGAAGGAAGGATGGATGTGTGTGTGTGTGTGTGTGTGTGGGTGGTTGGATGGATGGCTGAGTGGATGAGTGGATGAGTGGAAGAAAGGATGGATGGATGGATGGATGGAAGGAAGGATGGATGGATGGATGGAAGGAAGGATGTATGGAAGGGTGGATAGATGGATGGATGGAAGGATGGAAGGAAGGATGGATGGAAGGAAGGAAGGAAGGGTGGATAGATGGGTGGATGAGTGGATGGAAGGAAGGAAGGAAGGAAGGGTGGATGGAAGGAAGGAAGGAAGGATGGGTGGATGGAAGGAAGGATGGGAGGATGGAAGGAAGGATGGATGGATGGGTGGATGAGAGGAAGGAAGGAAGGATGGATGGATGGATGGATGGAAGGAAGGATGGATGGATGGATGGATGGAAGGAAGGAGGGAAGGATGGATGGGTGGATGGATGGATGGAAGGATGGATGGAAGGAAGGAAGGAAGGAAGGAAGGAAGGAAGGAAGGATGTTTGTATGTATGTATGTGTGTGTGTGTGTGTGTGTGTGTGGGTGGGTGGATGGGTCGATGGGTGGATGGGAGGAAGGAAGGAAGGAAGGATGGATGGAAGGAAGGATGTATGGAAGGGTGGATAGATGGATGGATGGAAGGAAGGATGGAAGGAAGGAAGGAAGGAAGGAAGGAAGGAAGGAAGGAAGGAAGGAAGGAAGGATGGATGGATGGATGGAAGGATGGGAGGAAGGATGGATGGGAGGAAGGAAGGAAGGAAGGATGGATGGATGGATGGAAGGATGGGAGGAAGGATGGATGGGAGGAAGGAAGGAAGGAAGGATGGATGGATGGATGGAAGGATGGGAGGAAGGATGGATGGGAGGAAGGAAGGAAGGAAGGATGGATGGATGGATGGAAGGATGGGAGGAAGGATGGATGGAAGGAAGGATGGAAGGAAGGAAGGAAGGATGTATGGAAGGGTGGATAGATGGATGGATGGAAGGAAGGATGGATGGATGGGTGGATGAGTGGATGGAAGGAAGGAAGGAAGGATGGATGGAAGGAAGGATGGGTGGATGGAAGGAAGGATGGATGGATGGATGGATGGAAGGATGGGAGGAAGGATGGATGGAAGGAAGGAAGGAAGGAAGGAAGGAAGGAAGGAAGGATGGATGTATGGATGGATGGATGGATGGATGGATGGAAGGAAGGAAGGAAGGAAGGATGGAAGGAAGGAAGGAAGGATGGATGGATGGA